CTAGTGGGACCAGCCATATTGGGTACTCTGGGTTTGACTGACAGACTCTGCTTCACTGAATAAGGAAGAAGAGCAATCAGAGATGATTCCCAACATCAACCTCAGGACACCACATGCATGTGTACACACATGCCCATATAACCCCCCCACACACACACACACTGCTCACAAACATGCATATGTATACAGCACGCACACACACACATGCACACGCACACGCGCGCACACACACACACACACACACACACACACACACACACACACACACACACATGAAAAATGAAAAAAAGACTATCAGCAAGGATGCTGTGGCATGGAGTAGGGCTGGAGGAGGCTTCATCTGGCATGCAAAGGCTCTAATGGCCTTCAGTTGTGCTGTTATTGTTTTTTAGTGGGCTACAGCGCTGGGGCAGACTTACCTTTTCTGAAGAGGTGACCCCCTTAGTTGCTTTGAGTCCTAAGTTAAGCATATCATTTCTCCTCCTCTTGATGTCTGAATGTAGAATGGAGTGGATGGTTATACTGTGGCATGTGAGGATAGCATTCTATTTGACCCTTCTCCTGATCTCGATGGTCATAAAGAATTCCATTAGGGGGACACTTTTCAATTTAGCACAAAGAATCCAGGAAGACCTCCTAAGCCATTTCCCTCTACTTCTCAATTTAAACATGCCCAAATCTTTAATAATAAAAGCAAATAAATTATGAAAATTTCGTGGCAGCTGGAGGGCTCGACGGAGCTGGTCCTGCAAATGAATGTGTAATTTTGTCATGTTGATGGGAGAGAAGATGTTGATCGGTGTGTTGTTGATTCATTATCATGCTAGCAAGGACCGCTGCCTCGTGATTTCCTGTCAGATCCCTTGTTCAGCAAGCAATGGAGGTAGACATGGGAATGTGTCATTTGTACCCACTGGGAACAAATGTTGTTTTTGCTTCCAAATGCATTGTCTCAGCACTCTAAGTAATTATTGTATGAGAGCTAACAACTGTAGCTCCAGTTTCACTGGAGCTGATAAATTATGGGTATCTTACTTGGAGAGACAAAGCATATTAATCAAAAGATAACAATTTCCAGTAGCGCATTCCAAAGTAGCAGATGAATGGCTCAGGCAAAGAGTTTCAAAGACATTTGGAAGAAGTCTTCTCTGGGAAAATCCTTTTAGGTGATGGGTCCAGAATTGAGCTTCAGCGTAGAAAATTGTCAGAAAGATAGGAAGGGCTTCACAGAGCTATGAGAGAGTACCACTAGAGAAGTACAGAGGTGACAATGTGCTAACGTGCTATGGGGCAGGATTTAAGGCTTTGTTATTGTTATTTTGTGTTTCATTTTGAGACAGGATCTTACTGGGTGTCCTGCTAACCTTGAACTTACAACCCTCTTGCTTCTGCTTCATGAGTACAGGATCATAATTGTGTGTCAGCATGCCCAGATGAAAGACGCTTATCCAAGTCGAAGTAGTATGACTACAACAAAGACTTTCAATAGACTTTTGCTAAAGTCATTGACTCCATTCTTGGGTCTGAGATGCCCAATCGGTAACTGAAAATGAGACAAAAGCTTCACACCTCCAATTTTTAATGCCTTTGTCTCCTTTGCAAACCTAAACTTTGGTTGAGACTTGCTAGTCATTTAAGGTATGTTCATCATGAAGTTGAAATAGTTCTAAATTTACCCAATATGTCTTCATTTCTTCCCACTCTAAGGCTGAGTAAAATATTTTCATGATTCTAGGTGCAGCAAGCATTTCACACAAAACACTGAATCTCAGGAACTGGGGCCTCTCCCCAAAGCAGGAGAAATTATCTTCTGATGGGAACTGAAGTCCTTCTCCCACTCAAGCAATAGTGCTTTTCTTGGTGTCAGAAGGACCCAGCGGGACTGGACCTGAGCTCATGATGAATGGAGCACCTATTTAACTAAGACTACATGACTACGTACATGTCTGCTTGTCCACTTTTGCTCTTCTGTCTATATAGTTCAAATAGTCCTAGTGCTACTGTCAATGTTGAGAGAAAGGGCATAAGACAGCAATCCCCGTGGTCCTTCCTGCTGTGGTCATACTGAGTAATTCCCCTTCTTAGTCCAATACCACTTATCTCTGTACCATTGAGGTATCAGGTGATCAGATCTTGTGTGTTGGTATTCCCAGAGTCAGTCCACTCTCCTAGGAGCCCATTAACATAATTAGAGGCACATAGTTATAAAATCTGATTTTCAATAGTTAGGTTTGGTTTGGATGCATTCATTGGTTCACCAGCTACTTACTAGGAATATACTATGTTCTCTCTTTAGCTCTGAGGTGAAGAAGTTTGTATTTTGTAGTTTCGTTGAGGACCGAGGTGAAACATAGACTATCACGGCTTGGGAAAAGGTTGCCTTGTATAGTGTGCATTAGGTTAAGAAGATGAAAATGAAGAGATGAGGGAGGGAAAAAATTACAAAGGAAGGACTTGGTAAGGGAGATAGCAAAAGAAATGGATTAAGAGATGCTCGGGAAAGTGTCGATTCTTCTTTATCTCCATAGAACATTATGATGGAGTGTTTGTTTGTTTTTTTTTTTTTAACACATCTACTTCCCCTCCAGGCTTTTCAAAAGCATGAACCACATCTGATTTACCATGCCCCCCATCTCCAGTCCTTGTTCATATGTCTAGTGTGTGACACATTCTCAATAAATGTTGACTTTCTGATCATTAAAATCACTGGATGGGAGATGGGAGAAGGGTCAGTTTCCCGGGAACAGGGGTGCAGGGTTGATTGGACACAAGAGAAGAACCATCTCAGGATTGTCAGTAAGTGAAGATGTGCTTCTGGTCTGATCGGTGAGACATTTGTGGCACTTGAAATCATGAGAACTGACTTAAGTTTCTAGGCTACATTTTAGAATCAAGAAACATAGCTTCCACGAGTGTTTTAGGTTCCTGGACAGGTTTAGCTGTCCCCCCATGGAATAACTCACCCTGTTGGAGGAGGGGTGAGGTGGGGGAGGTGAGGGGGAGTGGGAGGAGGAATGAGAGGGGGATCTTTAGTTGGTATGTAAAAAGAATAAAATTTTTTAAAGGAGAAACAAAAAGAAAATATAATTAAGTTTTTTTTTTAATATGTGGCAAATTACTCAAATTTTAAATTTTGATGATACTGTTTAAAATCTAAAATTCACTTTATCATTAACTGGAAGATAAGCCTATGGGTCTCATTTCATACTATTACTCTATAGCACCATGATAGTAATTTTGCTGATACTAATTTTTGTTTTTTTGGTTTTTTTTGGTTTTTCAAGACAGGGTTTCTCTGTGTAGCTTTGTGCCTTTCCTGGATCTTGCTCTGTAGACCAGGCTGGCCTTGAACTCACAGAGATCCGCCTGCCTCTGCCTCCCGAGTGCTGGGATTAAAGGCGTGTGCCACCACCCCCTGATACTAATTTTTAATTGTATTTTTCATAGTGTATTCGATAGTCAATGTGACAAGCACTTCTTTTGCAGCAAGTTTTGGGAGATACTTTTGTAGTTTTTTTCTCAAGTAAACATTCAAATAATCAATTTAAATTTTATTTGTATCATTTGGGATTTTGCTTGAATATGCAATTTATTTGCAATCATTTGGGAAGAATAGATAGCATTATTAATAGTGAATTGTCACATTACATGTTTCTTAATTTGTCAAAAATTTTAAAATATATTTTTGTTTTATTTGTTTTTAGTTGTTATTAAAAATTTGTTTATTTTTATATCCCTTAGTAAACCTTTTCATATAGGCTTTGAATATTACTTTTTTTTAAAGACTTTATTTTTTATTTTAATTTTATGAGTTTTTCCTCTTTATTTAAATGCACCATGTGTGTGTAGTGTCTGCTGAAGCCAGAAGAGGGTATCAAATCCCCTAGGACTGGAGTTACAGATGGTTGTGGGCTGCCCTGTGGGTGCTCAGAACTGAATGCTGGTCCTCTGCAAGAGCAGCAAGTGCTTTTAACTGGTGTGCCATCTCTCCAGCCCCTAAGGGGTAGCCCAGGCTGGCCTCCAATTCACGACCCTTCTACTTCTGTGTCCTCAGAATATCTTACAGGCACACACTACCACAACCTTCCATTGTTTCTCTTACGTTCATTCCTGAACATTCCTGAGTGTGTATGCCATTATGTAAATGACATTTCCTATTACTTTCTAGTCATCATTTATTTGTAGGAAGGAAGTGGATTTTGCAAACTGCACTGCTACACACACATATCATATCCAAAACTGTGCTGCCGATGAATTATCACCTTAAACATTAAAAGAAAATCAGTTAATTCAAGGTAACACCACAAAATATATTCATAATACAGAAGCAAGGGGATTTTTTTTAAAAGAAATCAACAAAGACAAAATAAAATGAAGTCAAGCAATACATGATGACTTGGATTACATAAAAATTCAGGTTTTTTTTGTTCAGTGATGGAGTGTTGGGGAATACTATTTTAAGGTGTGTTACTTTTGTTTATGTTGCATTTATTTAACTCTGTGAACCTGTGTTACTTTGCCTGTCTAAAGCACCTGATGGTCTAATAAAGAACTGAATGGCCAATGGCAAGGCAGGAGAAAGGACAGGCGGGGCTGGCAGGCAGAGAGTACATGCAGAAGGAGAAAAGTGGGAAGAGAGATCTAGGAGCCAGAGAAAGAGGAGGACTCCAGGGGCCAGCCACCCAGCTACACAGCAAGCCATGGAGTAAGAGTAAGATTTACAGAAGAGAATGGGAAAGCCCAGAGGCAAAACGTAGATGAGATAAATTATGTTAAAGAAAGCTGACTAGAAACTAAGCCAAGCTAAGGCCGGGCATACATAATTAAGAATAAGCCTCTGTGTGTGATTTATTTGGGAGCTGGGTGGCAGGTCCCCCCCAAAAGAGAAAAAACAAACAACCACAATGGAGACAGACAAAAGAGCAATTGCAGGAAAATTCTAGCAATGTATAAAGCAACAAAAGTTCAATATCTAGAACTGTGTAAAGAAATATAGAAAACATCAAGGAAAAAGACAGAAACCCCGACAGGAAAATGAACAAAAAGAACAGCTCTTTATTCAAGAAACTAGAAAATATGTAAAAAGATGCTCAAATTTATGAGTCATCAGAAAACTGGTGTTTGGGAGAGATACTAATTATTTTTCTCGTGGAGGAAAAGTTGTGTAATACCCAGTGTGATGCAGAGAGGAGAGAGTCCAGAGAGTCGCTGTGGGAGGGTGATGGATGTCACTCCCCTGAAGGGCAATATGGTGCTGCTTAGTCAGCTTGTAGATCCAGACCAGAACATGTAACTTCCAGTAGCATTTCCCTTGCAGCACATGCCCCAGAGACCCCATCACACAGGTTAATATGGTGATAGATGAAGATTTCCATCACAGAGGTGTGATGAAAGCGTGAAGAAAACCTGTTTCTTTGTCATTACGGGATGATGGATACATGCTGTAGATTGCTATGCAGACATTCAGAGCCAGGAGACTGGGTGCTAACACAGCGCCTGGTTTAAAAAAGGAAAAGTTTAAGAAACATAGCAAAGCAGAAGTGGAATAAACTCTATAGCAGGGTGTCATTTCTGGCATCTAAAATGCTGCCACATAAACTACGCATTGTGTCTTCCTAGAACATGGGAAAACTGATGGATGGACTTGAATGAATTGTTACTCAGTGATGGAGAAAATGAAATGGGAATGAGAAACAAACATGAAAGAGAATTAATGAACATGTGAATGAATTTAGAAAACTCTTGTTCTAAATGATTGTGGTGTGTGTGTGTGTGTGTGTGTGTGTGTGTGTGCGCATGCGCGCACGCACGCGCAATGTGTTTGTGGGGGGTGATTGGCAGAGTACAGAAGAGGGTGTCAGGTCCCTCAACGAGGAATTACAGGCATTTTTGAGCTGCCTGACATGGGTGCTGGGATTAGAACTCTTGACCTCATGATTGAGCAGCAAGTGTTCTTTGTTACTGAACCATTTCTCCAGCCCCTGGAAAAACTTTCAACTGCCCAGAGGAAACAACCAGAATGTGTTCACCATCACCATACAACTTTTGATTTGGTTAACCCCAGCTGGGCTAAACTATTGCAAAGATGACTTAATACATGTAGACAGTGAATGATCAAATGTCTCCTCCCTAGTAATTGCAGTGATTATAGAACCATTGCTTTGTGGTTCCGGTAGCCTCCTCGGGGAGAGTCAGCTGAGCATACTTATCAGAGAGCAACAGGAAGAGCAGAGTCATTTTGCTTGCATATCATTCACTTTTGCAGAGTTGTCTTCACATCTTACCTGGTACGGACGGCAACAGCATTTTGATTGATAGGTGCTCAGCCATTTCTTTCTGAGGCACAGGTCCCGGGATGGGTCTCTCTCTTGAGAGGGATGGTGTACACCTGGAAAAAACCCTTTCTAATATAGGCGAGTCTCTTCCAGGTAGGATTTTATATTTAAATGGTAATGATAGCAGGGCTTCTGTTAGATGGTCATCACGAGGGAGTCACGCTTTTTATCCCTGATTTTTGTGCTCCTCTAAAGAGACTGGACTGCTTTCATTCCTCATGGTGTTCTGGGCAGGTATAACTGCCGTGGAGGAAGAGATGAACTCAGCCCGGTGTACTATAAAGTAACTTTATGTCCCCTCCTGTGGTCCTTTCACACCAAGCCAGTGTGCTTGTTAAGCCAAATAGATTTTCCAGTAACTTCTAGATTATAAAAAGTTCTCCCTCCATTACTTTGCGCCAAAAGGACTGCCTCAGTTCATCCATTTAAAAGTGTGAATAGGTTAATAATAAAAACTCTGAACTTATTTTAAAGCTTGAGTTTTCCAATTCGCTAACCAACTCTGCCCTGGGCAGGGACTCGGAAGCTGGGAGGGAGGGGACAACATCAACTTCTAGATTTCCTGCCTGCTTTATCGTCGCATTACGGCGCCTTCGTATCACCCCCATGTAGCCGCCTCTGCACTTTGCAGGGGTGGAGCTGGAAGCAAGCAAAACAGATAAGGAAAAGAAAGTTCTTCCTGCATAGACAAAAGTGCAGAACAGAATGGGAACTGACCTGGGCACTCTGGGTTTGGACGGCACAGGGCAGGTCCCTTTCCCAATTTTAGGCTGGTCGCCTTAGATGAAGAAAGGGGAACTGACAGGCCCAAAGCTGTAAGGAAGCGTGTTCAGAATTGGCCTTGAACATGTCTGGCCAGCCCGGTGGATGAAGAGGGGAGACCGTGACCCAAGGCCTGCCGGAAGGAGGAAAATCCCACCAGGTTTGGAGGGTGAGGAGGGTGAGGAAGAAGCTGGTGTTGGCCGTCTTCATTACCGAGCTGTAGCCCCTTTTCCTGTCTGTCTGCCTATCAGGGATCTATCTGGCTCGTAGCCCTTCACTACAATCTTCAAACCCAAAGGGAAAAATTGTGTTAGAGGGCACACTAGAACGTGAACAAGGGTAACATGAAGGAGCGGCTGGGGGAGGTGAGGGAGGGAAGAGTCTCAGGGCCAACGAGATCTCCATCGATTACTGTCAGTTGCTCCTCCATGTTTCTGGTGCTCCGCGCTCTTGTTATTCCAACCTCGTCCTTGCACTACGTCACATTCTAAAAGCATCCTTCACTTACACCTTCACATACCCCATGTACCTCTGCCTACTCAAGTCTAATCTGCTCCTTAGGGTGTCTTTTACCTTTAAAATTTTTAATGCTTTAAATTTTTTGATGGAAAAGGCTATATTTGCCTAATTTTCAGACTTTCTCTTTTATAATAGAATGTAATTCCTAGTTCATGTTTTCTTTAGAGTCTCTCTCTCTCTCTCTCTCTCTCTCTCTCTCTCTCTCTCTGTGTGTGTGTTTAGCACTGGCTGGCCTGGAGCTTATGTAGAACAGGCTGGCCTCAGACTTCTGTCCCCTCGGCTTCCTGTCTCTGCTTCCTGGATGCCAAAATTAAAAGCAAGCACCACCCTTCTTTGCCTTTCTCTAGCTTTTATTTCCTCAGATATTTGAAACATATATGTTATGTATCCTCACTTAATTATTTGACTATTCCACGATATGGAATATAGTCGTTTAACTCGTGATAGTTCATTTCTTCATTTTTAATAGTTTTTACTCTGTAAGAATGCAGAGATATGATTTGAGTGATGGTCCTGGTTAATTTTATGTCAGCTTGAAATAAGCTAGAGTTATTTTGGAAGCAGGGAATTCAACTGAGAAAATGTTTCTACCAGCTTGGCCCTGTAGTACATTTTCTTGATTAACAATTGATGTGGGGAGGGCCTAGCCCACTGTGTATGGCGCTGTAGGCAGGTCATCCGGAACTGTATAAGAAAGCAGCCTGAGCAAGTCACAAGAGCAAAGTCAGAAACCAGCCCCCCTCCAAGGCCCCTGTTTTAGCTCCTGCCCCCAGGCCCCTGTTGGAGTTCCTGCCCTGACTTCCTCCAATGTAAACTGAAATAAACCCTTTCCTCCCCGATTTGCTTTTGGTCATAGTGTTTATCACAGCAATAGTAGCCCTAACTAGGACAGGGACCTCAGGCCATTGTCTTTTCTGACGACTCAAAGTCAGCTTTGTCTCCATGTTAGTTTAATTTCTTTACCCAATTCTCCAAATCACTAATCATTCTACTTTATTTTATATTTGTGTGTGTGTGTGTGTGTGTGTGTGTGTGTGTGTGTGTGTGTGCTTGAATGTTGTGGACACATACATGCAGGTACCTGCAGAGGCCAGAAGAGGGCGTCAGATTCTCTGGAGCTACAATTACAAGCAGTTGTGAGTTACTGAATGGAAGAACTGGGAACTGTAGTCTGGTCCTCTAAATGAGCAACACGTGTTCTTAACTGCTGAGCCATCTCCCCAGACCCCTGTTAATTTGTCTTTAAGCCATTCCAATCTTCTGTTGAAGCGGTATATTGGGTTAACTTCCTTTATTGTGGTTTTTGTTGTTTAGATCTGGGATCCACCCCACCCCCAACCCCCACCCCAGTTTCAGTTTTCTAATGAATTCTCAATTTCGTCTTCCAGCTCCATGAATATACTAAGTTAATCAGAAAAAAAAGTCTAATAACTCTATCTTATCTCCCTTTAACATCTGTTTTGTTCTATAGCATTTCCCTTTAATTTCATTCATATTGTTGTGTCTTTGTATGTGCCTGGTTCTTTTTTAATTGAGTGCTACTCTTATGAGAAAAAAAAAAGTGCAGAAATAATTTAAAGCCTAGTATAATTTCACATTTCTCAAGATGAGATCTAAGTTTACTTCTGGCACAAACTAGGGGCTGTAGGTATCCCTAGGCCACACTGATCAATTCATGGGGATGAGACGACTCAGCCTGGCTCCTGGTGCCCATGAGACCCTGCTTAGTCCCAGTCACCCTTATTCCTAGGCTACATTCCTGTTGTATGAATATAGAGCTCACTCTTCGGGCAATGCCTCCACTCCAGTGTTGGCTTTCTATTTCACAAGGTGTCAGAAGCTCCTAGTCTCAGCTTTCATGGCAGCCAATACGCCTAGAGCAGAAGCCCAGCTCACCTAGCAAAACTTCACATTTCCCTCATAGCTTGCTATTCAGTTCCCCACTGTTAAGTCCTTGAATAAATCAAACATGTATTTTTGTGTTTCCAGCTTTTCAAATTGTCCTCAGTAAGAAGGTTGCTTCTATTGGCCATCATCAAAGAGTTCTTAGTGCACTGTTTTTAATTAAAATATTTTTCCATCTACGAAGGCTGTCTGCTGATATTGTTGGTCTTTCTATTTTCTTCTATCAGGGTGCTGAGTTCATCAAGCTTGTATTTTCTCTGTATAGCTGCATAGTTCTCTTTGTAACTAGTAGTTCTCAACAGTTAGGGCAGGGTCGATGGTCTCTTTAGAGAGCTGATCACCTATTGGTAAGTGATGAAGGAATAGTACCTGCTATACTTTTGAGCCACCAGGGAATAATAATAGAACAAAGCCATTGACCTTCTGCTGATGCTCAGGGAGGAACCCACTTACCTCCAGATCTCATTCTTTATAATCATAAGGATTGGCAGCCATGTATCCACCTGTGTAGTTATTTTCCAGCTCAGCTAGGATCAGAAGCATCTGATCCATGGGAAAGCTGATTCTGTATGACTTTCTCCAAAATGATGTATAGGCTTCCTACAGCTAAGCAACCTTTCTGCCTTGGCTACACAGAGGAAAATTGTCCTGAAGTCCTCTTCTTCCCAGAATTCTCCTGTTTTTCTGAATCAAATCTTACGATTTCAAATCTTTATCTCTTAGTGGTATTTGAGGATCATTGGACTTGGTACCTTCCTAAGAAGATGATGGTGATGGTAGTGGTGAGAATGATGATGATGAAAATAGCTGGACCATTATTTAACCTTTATTAAATGCCAGCCTTTAGGGCTGGAAAGATGGCTCAGTGGTTAAGAGCACTGGGTGTTCTTCCAGAGGACCTGGGTTCAATTCCCAGCACCCACATGGCAGCTCACAACTGTCTGTAACTCCAGTTCCAGGGAATCTGACACCCTTACACTAATGCACATAAAATAAAATAAAAATAAAATAAAAAAATAAATAAGTTAAATGCCAGCCTTGTGTTATACACTTTATGTGCAGTACATACACTACCCTCAAGAAACCATACACAATGGTTTTGTTGTCAATATAGTTACTTAAAAAGATGAATAACTGGTCTATGTTATTAAGTTGTAGTGAAAGTATTTTTTTTTAGAATTTTTTTTATTATTAATATTATTATTATTTTACAACACCATTCAGTTCAACATAATAGCCACAGAATCCCCTGTTCTCCCCCTCTCGCCC